ATTCTCACAGGACTCAATTTTTCCATCTCTTGTTCACAACAGGAAGGAGCTTCTCTCTAATAATGATGTGATGTAATTACCCTGGAATGTACTGCGTGTACAGCAACTGTGCTTCTATGACTTACCGATATCTAGTCTACATTTCATAATGTCAAAAACACTGATTTTATCTTTTGTTTTAATCTCATTTTGTCTTTGTTCTGTCCACTTCAGAAACTAGTTTGTCCGTGAAACAAATGCATAACAGAGATTTCTCAAAAATAAAACGATCAAACCTCTTGTACAACCATCAAAACATAACAGGAAAATTTATACTTGAAATAAAACACCATCTAAAAACGTTCAGATGATGCCTGCACATCTCCTAAAGCTGAGTGAACCCTGTGAACACAACAGAAGTCGGACTCGGGCTGCGATACTGACTGTTTTGTGAGAATCGCTAAGCATCTTTATAGACGCATAAATCACTCGGGTCATAAACAAATAGGCTGTCTGCTGACAGCAAGGATCGCTGCCGGGAAAACACACACATATGCAAAGTAATCATGTGGACCCTATAAAAGGAGTGGAACAAGTGCAGCGAATTATCATATCTGAGGTTTTTTATTCTCACGAGTCAACCGCACACTGGATGTTGATGTAAACATAAGAGTAAAAAATTTTAAATAAAACTCTAACATCTGCACATAAACATACAGTTCAAAGTATGTGCAGTGAGTCAATCTATGAAAACAAGCAGAGATTTATTAAAAGTATTTGTCCCCTTATCTAAAGACGTCACAAACTGTCTTTGGACTCTGCTTTTTGAAGTCAGAAAAGACCATATTTGGATAAGAAGATGGTTATCGGCTAAGGGGAGTGGGCTTGGTCAATAAGTCGTATGAACTGCTGAAGAACAATAATAAAATAGTAAAATTTTACACACAAAAGCAAACTTCATGGACAACCTATTTTAATATGGCAGTCAATGGGACCTCGCATTTAGGGCTCGCTTCAAGTGGCCATTAAGGGAACTGCAGTTTCTGCCACTTTATTTTACAGCCTCGTGACTGAAACAAGCTAAAAGGCACACATTAGGGATGCAACGATACCAATTTTTACAAACCGATACGATACCGATACTTGGATATGAGTACTTGCCGATACAGAGTACAAAAA